ACTGAAAAACAACTACTGTAAAATGTTTAGCCCATAAATATGATGTGTGTGAAGAAAACATTAAACAATATTTTAATTTGGACCTTCAAAAAGCAGTTAAAAAGAAATGACTATGAAATTTTAGGGGGGGGGGGAGGGGCGCTAAAGCCTGTTACCCCCCTCCCTCTAAATCTGCCCCTGGTGTCTGTTCTCTGATAGCTCATAAGATTCACAATAGAAATTGAATTGAAATTTATTAGGTACAGTACGCCAATAAACACAAGAACAACAACACAGAGTACAGTTAAGTTTGCACTACAGTAATAGGCATTTAAAGGTTTCTTAACAAATAGGCCTACATAAAGAACCCATTTTTTATTTCCCCCTTCACAAAAATGGCCACAACAAAAGCATGATCACATACCAGACCTACAAAACATTAATTGCAGGATATTCTGATTGTTTTGGCTTGTAATAAGTAAACAAGGGAAGGAGATGTGGGAGGCACAAAAAAATTCAATATTCAATTTCATTTTATGCTCTGAATGCAATCGATGTTCAAAATCTGCCTAAAATTACTTTCATGTGCATTTATAAGAATCATAAAACTGAACAAAGGTCTTAACACTACAGTTGATCGCTTGTTAAATGGATGACGTTGGTTGGAACTTTCTTTCCTTCATGGTTGGATGATTACAGTGAGTACCTGTACGCTGCTTTAAAAAAATAATTACATTTTTGAAGCTGGAACTATTATTTAAACACACACACAAAGTCTATAAATTACAGACCTCTATATTGACCTGTTGGAATTTTTTCAAGTTCAACAAGAATGCTATCTTCCCATCAAAGAATCCTGACATAGACTAAATCTATATCATTTGTCAACATGCAAACTCTATATACAATATATTGATAAAAGGTGACAAGCGACTGTTAATCTAAATAAAGGGTTTAAGGAAAGACAACAGGAGATGAGGAATTTGCTAGTCAATGATCTCAATTATTCTCTTTAAGACTCCTCTTCTGGGTTTGCCATTTTCTTTGATAAATAAACAAATGAATGTCACAATGGGACTTGAGCATTTGTTGTTAATAACAACAAATTTCTTTCTGGAAATTAAACTATAGCCAGCAATTGCAGTAATTTTTTTTGTTTTCTCAACCATTTCTGGTTGACAAATTATATTTTTTCCTCCTAGAATAACAAAGGTGATGCACCAGACATTACAGTATTTTTCACACTTCATACCCAAAGAATCATACAATTTTAATCTATTTTTTTGTTCAATTTATTACAGTAATAGCATTTGCAGTACCTGTTGCTATTTGGGGATCGGATTCAACACTAGCCATTAAGCGCAAAATCAGTGGTCTATTGGTTATGACACTAGGCTAGTTATCTGGAGATCATGGTCCGATTCCGACCTGAATCACGTGCAAGATTTTCTTTGCAAAGTATTTGGGAATGTACTATCAGTACGATAACACGTCATG